GCTGAACACTGTGTGCAGACAATCTCACATGTGCAATGCAGCTAACATGATGCTCCAAAGAGTTTTCTTTTTGCTCTGTTGGTGATTATTACAATACTTTACACTGTTTGAGAGTAGTTTAAAGTAGTTAAGTACAAGCACAATGCATTTGCGACAACTAGAGCCCTGCACAAGAATTCCTATATGCTTAGACTGTGTGTTTATGCAAAAATGGCGAACAAAAATCTTGGATTTTTTTCCAGTAAAGACAGGCCATGCACTCGTTGCTTTTTGACTGGTCCTGCTGTCACATATTTCACTGACCCTGATATTCTCAGAATGTGAGTACATGGTAAAGACGGAGAGAAGATTGCATCAGGGATTCTGGCAGCTGCTTTTCCTCCGCTCTGTGCAGACAGGGGGTGGGGTGCCGGCTGGAGCTGGGAGGAGAAAAGGGGGGATTTAGGAATATTCTTTGTCCTCGCCCCGTAGTACAACGCACAACTGGAGAAGGACGCAGGCTCCTCGTGGAAAACAAAGGCTGGACGGCTTGGCGTTGGAGCGGGAGAGCTGTCTTCTAACAGTAACGACGGAGAGAACGACAACTTTTAATGAGCCACAACAAAGGAGCCAGAATCACAACTTAAGGTAAAATACCGTAACACAAAGACGCGGGAGCATCACGCAGCCTCGTAGCTTCTGCTAACAATGGTGCTTCACTTCAACTTATCTTATTTTCGCTGTGAGTTGCTTTTAAAAGCTGCTAATGGAATTTCAGCCACGTTCACAAAAGCAGTGTCGTTAAATATGTTGTTTAAATACTTAGGTTCACGCGCACAGACTGGCGGGTGGTATTGATTAAACGTAATGTGGACTTTTTGGTCATTTAATACACATTTGCGCAGAACAGCTTGTCGCTAATCCCACATGCTGCGGTTTTTCTGCCCGTATGTGAAATATTTTGACAATTTCAAGGGGAATCTTAACTATGTGTGTGGAATGGTTGGAAGGAAGGGCCACGCATCCTGTCTTCATTTTACTCCTCCACCCCCGTCGTTAGTAGCTTCACGTTTTATCATCTAGTTACTGTCTCCACACTTCACTAACCATCGATATGTGGACATGGAAGCATGTAGAGTAGCCACGAGGAGCCCCCCCTCCCCGTTCTGTTCGATGCTAGAACTCGTCTTTTCTTTTTCTTTTTCTAAACGCAGTGTTTATTACTGGTGGACCTGTGCATCCCTGTTGTGGATAATGGCCGGGTTTCCCCTCTACCTGCACCACCCCTGCTGAGTGGAGCTCTGTCCTCAGTTAAGCCTGATTCCTATGCTGAGGCCTTTGGTTCCTGAGCCCAGGGCCTCTCAGCTTCAAGGCTTTTGGATATAAGAAGGATAACCACAACGAGGCTCCCAGATGTGAGAGCCACAGAAGCCCCTCTGTTTTTCAGTGCTCAGACTTTGTTGCATTACTTTTGTCCTTACAGGGAAATGGTCTGGGTTTGTTTTTGTTTGTTTTTTTCAAAGTGCTGTAGTTAGAACATCACGAGTGTTGAAACTGATGTGAAAGCTTGTATCGAATTGGATTTTGTCAGCATGTAGACGCTTGTCAAGTGTGTCAGGTTTGTGTGTGATGTTGGACACAGAGCATCATCATTTTAGCTTCAAGTTTAGATTTTTGTTACAAAGTGTCTGATTTGCTGCCTCTGTGCAGGGCTGAGAAAGTCTGAGACGCAATCCAAGACTCTAAAACAGGGATGTCAGCTGTGACAGCATCCTGGGGCAGCTCCTAACCATTCACCTAGATCCCAGGCAGCAGAATATACGGTTCCTTACACGTCTCTTGCGGCCTGACAAAAAAGCAATGTAGCTAAGTGGTGTAGGTGACCAGTGTGGTGGCAGCATTTAGTTGACATGAAGCTTCATGTAGTACACAGACTTTGATTTCCCATCTATAGTTGAGTTGTGCTATATTCCTCTGTATTCGTTTTCAACTTACACCCACATGCCTCAGCTGAATAGAAGCTTTTGTCTGTTGACATCAAAACCTGGCAGAAAAGAGGTCACACTGCTGTTCAGGTGATTGTTACACACAGAAAACCACAAATGAAAGATGACACTGAGCCATACGTGGTTGGTTGTTGTATTGTCTTCTGTGTTTTTATGTCTAAACACACAGATAACAAGCAGAATGGGAGCTCATAATCACCACAGACCAAAATATCAGGTATCTGGAGAGTTTGGTGGAGCTGCCTCCAGGTCTGCTCTTACTCATCTTGCTCAGAGGTGGTCATCGGCTGCCACACAGTGGAAACCTTTGTGCATCGTTCTGAACCAGGTTCATCCAGCTTTAACTAAATGTCACATTCGTACAGTGTTCCCATTCACAGCTGGGAGTCGCCCAACACAAACAGTGCTTTGCTGGAGCACTGTGTGGTTTGTTATGGGATCAGCAGTATTTTCACCTTATTTGGTCCCGTTGGATAAAAAGTTTCAGTTTGTGCTCCTCCTTTTAAAGAAAGCTTGTGGCTCTGCCATCACAGTATGCACACAGCTGAGTAAAAGTAAAGCAGTATCATACGTATTACAGTGTTGGCCACATCTTGGGACAATTCTAGTAATACAGGGTTTTAACGTCCAGCGCTTGTCTGCACCGTGGCCACGTATGCCTTACATGAGTGGTGGACAACAACTAAGCACATTTACTCAGGTAAATGAGAAACATCATCTACTGTACTTGGGTAGGATTTTGAGTTTTTTTTTTTTTTACTTGAGTATTTTCATTCTGTGCTACTTCATACTTTGAGTTCACTACATTTTAGAGGCAAATATTGTACTTTTTACTTCACTTATTTTATCTTTAGTGGTTCCCTTAAAAAAACAAACAGATTTTCACAAAAAATACTGTTTAATCATAAGATTTTATTGATTTCTACTGGAAAATTCACAAGCTACCCAGCAGCAGTTAAAATTATAAGCATATAAATTAGTTAAAAGTAGCTCCACCTTTACCAGCTGCAACATTGTGATGCACACAATATTAGTAACTATAATCCATACATTGTTAAATGTGGCATTTTGACGCTAATGCTTTTGTACCTAAGTAACATTTTGAATGCAGGACTTGTTACTTTTACTGCTGCTGCTCCCTTTACTTAACCCTGTAAAGCCCGACACATCAAAAAATAGCCAGAACATTCAAATTTTTTGGAACTGACATGTTTATTAAACCTTTTAACAAAAAGAAAATTCAAGATTCAGGATTTTTATTTGCCATCTATGCATAGACACAGTCCAGGCATATAGGAATAGATGTGCCATGTTATTTAGATTATAATTATTATTTTTTTGTATTACATTTGATACATGGGGAACTTTTGATGTTTTTGCTTTGGTGTTTTTTTTTTTTTTTTTTTTTTTCA